AGTCTTTTGTAATGAATTCCACAGGTTTGTTTGTTTGTTTAATTAATTAATTAATTAATTCAATTGAGATGGTTGCCCATCTCGCCCAAGTGACTCTAGGTGGCTAACACCACATAAAGACACAATACAAAATAACTTTAAAAACCCAAATATATAAAACATACAACGGCAGCTGGGGCGAAACCCAGGTTAACAACAAACTGTGTAAGGACGTTCAAAAGATTCTTCCAGCCAGCTTAATTGAATGACCCTTGGTTCTTATGTTTTGAGAGAGGAAGAAAAGTTCCTTGTCCACTTTCTGAACAGCATGCATGACTTTATATGCTTCAAATGTTTCTCTTCATTTGTTCTTTTCCTAAGCTAAGTGGTCTCAGGTCTTCTAGGCTTTTCTCACAGGATTTGAATTTTCTAATTATTTTGGTTTCTCTCTTCTGAACCTTTTTCCAGCTGTATAATTTCATTTTTCATATGTGGCAAGCAGAACTGCACATGGTATTCCAAATGCAGGCATATCGTAGCTTCAAAGAAGGTCATCACACTGTTGGCAGTTTCGTTTCAATTCCTTCCCTAATAATCTATAGCATGAGATTTGCCTTTTTTATAACTATTGAACACTGAGTCAACGTCTCAGTTGAGCTACCCACTATAGTTCCAATATCTTTTTCTTAATTAGTGACACACATCATTAGTCTAAATGTGAAGTTGCTTTGCCTCAGTGTGCATCCATTTACACTTATTTAAGTGCATTTGCTCTTGGTTCACCATTTACCTAGTTTAAAAAAAGCCTTCTGGATATTGTCATAATCACTTTTTGTTTCACAGCCTTAATTATTTGGTATTATTTCCAATCTGGCCAGCTTGCTGCTCACCCTTGAGTCAAGATAATTTTGTAACAACTTAAAAAGCACTGGTCCCAATGTAGGTCCTTAAAGTCTTCCCTCCATTGAGAAAGTTAATTATTTATCCCTATTCTTTGCTTTCTAACTAATTAGAATTTCATAAATACTAACTAGAACAGATCCATATATACTACTGACTGTTAAATTTGCGGAAGACTCCTTGCTGAGAAACTTTGTTAAAGGCCTTTTGAAAATCCAGTATACCTTATGGACAGGATCACTTATATTCACATGCCTGTTGACACTCTCAAAAAAGAACATAAAAGGTGACAAGGCAAGATTTATCCATCCATCCATCCATCCATCCATCCATCCATCCATCCATCCATCCATCCAATTTGTATAGCTGCCCATCTCAAACAAGTGACTCTGGGCACCAAACAGTCATAAAAGATTTACCTATGCAAAATCGATGCTGATTTTCCTTCATCTATGTGTTTACTTATGTTTTGTTATACCATTTCTACCAATTCTCCCAGAACTTATATTAAGGAAACAGGCATTAAGCTTATTTCAACACTATCATTTATTACTGCAGTTTGCTTTAATTGTTCCAATTCACTTCCTGAAAAAGTTGGTACATCTTTAGGTATATGTATTACATAATTTGTAGTGAAGACGTATTCAGAGAATTCCTTCAGGTCTCCCTTAGTGTTTCTTACCATTTGCTCTTTAAATTCTTTTGCTACCAGAGATAATGTTCCTCTTAGTTTTTCCTGTTGTAACATACTTTCTATTTTCCAGAGGAAGGTTTCTCACCTTTAACAGCTTCCTGGACACTACTAGGGAGTCATGTTGGTCTTTTCTTCAATGTGATTGATACTTTTTTGGATTGTGGAATACATTCCAGCTGAACCTCATTACTGAAACATTGAAAATGTTTCAATTTTCCTTCAGCCATTATAATTCAAGTGGCTATCTTTTGTTTTTGGTTTCTTTTTCCCCAGTCTTCTCGATTTTGAGAAGTTTCACCGTTCGTAGTCAAATGTGACTGTGTTTGGACCTAGCTACTACTTCACACGTAAGGTAGCTATAACAGCATTGGGATCAGTATTCCCTGTTGGTTCCACAATATCTTGCAGCGGATCACAAACACCACTTAAGATTAAATTTAGAATCATCTTCTTTGGTTGTTTCCAAGATCTTCTAAGGCACAGTCATTTAGTTTATCTAGGAATTTGGTTGGAATGCATTTAAAGCATTTATTCGTGGATCCACTGTAGCTAGTGCTTCAGCAAAAATGAGACGCAGAGATTTTTACACATCTGAAAAAGATGGTTAAAGTCTCACTTTTGACTTATGCCAGAAACCCCACAGATGCATCATATTAGGTATTTATAGCAGCTAAGGTTAAATTGGGGTTACTGCATTTGGACAAATTTGAATATTTGTTGAAATACATTATTTATAGGACCGTCTCTCCCTGAGAGCATCCAGGGAGTATCTGCCCATCCTACAGATTGGATTGAGTAGGTAGCCCCAGGTCCTTTCCTTGAAATCTAGTGGGTGTCAGAATCCTTGCAATCAATTAACCACCTTACATGCCAGCTTGCTTGCTTGCTTTGGTTCTGCCATTGGGAGACATGGGGGGAGGTGCTGGAAGGATCTGGAAGGATGGGTGAATGAAATGACTGTTAGAGGCAGATGGACTGTGATCAAAGACTGAGGAATGCTCAAGGTTGTACCAACGAGCGAGTGTGAGAAAACTGGGAGGTTAGGGGGGTGTAAGGGGAAAAGAGCAAAAAAGGTAAAAAGGAACTTTTGGTGTGCACAGGCTCAGTCTTAGTAATGCTTTGGAACTGTATGCTTGTTCTCAATAAATGAACTTTCTTTTGAACCATTATTGGTTGCAAGGAGAGTTACTGAAGTTGTGAGTTGTGAGTGGCAGATCATTACAGTGGGACTTTGGAAGCCTGCCTTTTTTGTGGCTCCCCCAGCCTTATGGAACACCCGCTCCCCAGAGTTCTGGCAGGCCCACACCCTTTTAGCCTTTTGGAAGGCCATCAAGACCTGACTTTTTACCCAGGTGCTGGGGTCGAGTGATAGTGTCTTAGGTCGATTGTTGGGGAATCCCAAGGGGATGACTGAGGTGCCAGATTTCAGTTTTGTTTTATGGTTTTATGGTTTTTAGTTCTGGGCTTTTTGTTGTGGTTGTGAACTGTGCGGAGTTGTGTTTTAAGATAGGTGGCCATACAAATGTTTTAAATAAATAAATATAACTAAATTAAACAGAACTATTGGCAGTTGGGAAGGAAAGCTGGAAAGTTATTGGCTTACCAGCTGAAACAAACAAAATCCAGTGAAATTTTAAATCTGGAATTCAGACCAACTATGGTCACTTACGTACTGAGACAGAATCTGATATTTACTAGTTTTATTGCTTTTATACTCAGTTATATGTATTGAAGACATCTGTAACTGAGGAGCAAATTATTAATTTTTTTGGAAGTACTGAAATGGAAGAGATGTCTCAGGAGGAGAAAAAAGAACTGGCATAACCTTTGACATGACAAGAAATTAGGGAGACAACAAAATCTGTGAAACTGGGAACAATCTTTGGGCCTGAAGAATTTCCAGTTGAGTGGGACAGAAGTTTTATAGATATACTAAGACCTATATTGTTAGGGGTTTATAAAAAATAAATTAACCTTTCTATATTCTCCTATCATTTTATGTGGTCTGTATTACAGTATGAGAAAGATCTGTCCAGATGCGCAAGCTACAGACTAGAATCTTGGCTTAATGTGGACACTGAACCATTAATTGCAATACTAGCCAGGAGGCTACAGAAAGTAATACCATTGACAATTCATCCATCTCAGTCTGGATTTATAAAAAATAGAGAAGCATCTGATAATATCCAATTGGGGATTGATGTTTTAGACATTGCAGCAGATAAATTAGTACATAGAAATTTGGACCAAACGTGAATATAACCAGTCTAGGTGAGGATAACTGAAGTCCCAGATTACTACAAAAAATTATTCTTTGCAAGCCTCTGAAAATACTTTCACTGTTTCAGGATTGCTCTCAGCATTTTGATCAGACACGATCACTAACTTAATTTAACACTGTGGCCAGATATTGCTTCCTGTATTGATTCTGTGGAAGAATTAGATTTTCCAGTGTTTTCTAGTATGTTAAATTTTATATCGTCTTTGATATAAAAGAGAAGAAGTTCCACAACGCCATTCCCTCACTTTCTATTGAGCTTGTATCCAGGAATGTCCCTGTTCCACCGAATTTCTCTGCTTTACCAGATTTCTCTTATGTCCACAGTATCTGTGTTCTAATCTGTGACTCTAATTCCCCACCCCCAGCCCCCACCAGCTTGGCTTCGACTTCTAGCATTGGCACAGAAACACCTATATGCCATGTCCTTTTTCAAATGTTCAGATGAGGGTATATATATATATTTAGTTCTTTTAACGTCTGACTGTTGCGATTTCCCAGTGTTTTTTGGTAGGTGGGATTGTTGTGTAAACCTTCGTTTTAATTTAAGCAACCCCCCCAAAACCCCCTAAATTATTCCACCTCCTCCACTCTCAACCCTGCCAACACCAGTGATCTTCTCACATCACTGCCAGTCCACTGTGGTTTTTTTTGCTCTACTACTACTACCCCTCAAAAAAGTTGGGATTCTTCTTTACTGGTTTATCACATGATTGGTAAGATATCATGTAACTATCAATTCTATAAATGCCAGTTTGTCAAAAGTTAATAAATGTAAATGTACCCTGGTCTCATTGCTAGACGTACAGTACAGTGTAGTAGTCTTCTTGATCTGCAATCTGCCAGTGGAGAGAGAAAACGCTAGAAATGTGTATATACCTTACATTTTAAATATCAGATTCCTAATTTGGAATAAGGTTTATTGATACAAGTTGCACATGAGGGATGTATGTTGTTATGCTTTCCTTTGACAAAGGTTCTGGACAAAATTAAAGTTCTGACTTACAGAAAATCATGAATGTTGAGGAGTGAATGAAAGTATGTATTAAAGCTTCATAATATAAAAAAAAAGAATCATGAAGTAGGCAGCATATCTGAGACAAAAAGATTTTGGTTTTGATAGAGCTTCTTTTTTTATGTGTGTTCTAGCTGATCACCTATGGATCCAACAGAAATGAAGCTTTGCAAAGAATGGAAGAGGCTTTGGATAATTACATTATAAGAGGTAAATTACAAGTATAGTTACTCTAAGTGGCATAGCTTATTTTAACTCTCTTAACTCTTTTAGATTAGCCTTAGTTTTTATAGAGTTTAAACTAACTTTATAACTTTGTATGTCATATGCTATCTACTATGTTGGTTTTAGTGTTTTATAATATGGTATGATATTTAGTATTGTACTGGTCAATGCGAAGATAAATATGATACTGATACTACTATATGAGATGCTAGTGTAGAAGCATATAACTTTAAGTGAGCCGTAAGAGTTTGTTGAAGTGGGCAGGATATCATCATCATCATCATCTATGCAAGGAAAGTTATTGGCTTTTTTTTTTTTTGCTTTTATTGAGTACAAAAAAAAGATAAAAATAGACAAAATTATAAAGAAAGAAGAAAGGAAAACAAAAGAAAAGAAGAACGGGAAAAAAGGAAAATAAAAGGCCATATATATTCTGCATAAAGATTTCAGTGAATGATAACCATATTTCATTATATACATCCATACGTAATCTGTGTCAATTAGTGATTAATTTGTAAATTGCTAAGAACATTAATTCTGCAGATCATTGATTAGTTGGGGCCGTATATTTATTTTTTCAACTCTGAAGAATAAGTCTTTTAGCTATAAACAGAGCAAGGAGAATCTACTTTTTTGTCCAGATATCAACTTCCATACAATAGAATATATTTTTAAAAATATGAAATATGGAAATATTAAATATTATCTTAAAATTTAAGACACATACTAGTTTACTCCCCAAATGGAACAATTTGGTGGCACTGTACAAACATATGTTTAAATGAAGTATTAATTTCATTGTATCTGCAATAACATGTTATTCAGATTTTTTTGTGTTTTGTAAACACAACGGAGTCTAATAAGCTTGAAATATTTTTTTGACAAATAAGGCATTATTTAAAATATATTGAGGTTTTGGTTATTGATGTTAACATCTCTTTCCATTGTCTATAAAAAATAGGAATCTCTAATTCCTTTTCCATTCAGCTGTTAAAGTTTGCGTATCAAATTGTTTAATCACTAACAGAATTTCATCAAGAGCAATGGGGAGTGGGATATCATAGGATCTAGTAATTGTGGTAGACTGGATATTTCTAAGTCTGAAAATGCTGCAAGTCCAGGTTGGTATGTCAGTAGGTGTTATAAATACTGCCATTGACCCATATGAGGCAAACAGTATTTGCACTAAAGTGAAAAATGATAAAAATTCATCGTTTTCTTCTACTAATTAATCCAGTATAAATCTCAGTTTCCATCCAAATTTTCCATATAATTACTTCATAGCATCAAACCATGAGAAAAAATGACCAAAATAATCACTTTCTAGAGATAATGTACCATAATGTTTGAGTTGATCTAACATTTGAATTCTGTTGTATTTTGATGTCAAGAGAGTCCAACTAGAGAAATTTTGCAAATACTTCACAACAATATTTTTAATTAAAGTATAAGATGGAGAAAAGTTTACAGGATTTCCAGATGGGTTTATTTAAATGAGGTTTACTAATTTTCCATTTCAATATTATAAACTCAGAGAAAAATTAAATGAAAATTTTTCTTACTAAACAAATATATTATTGTGTCTATATATAGGAATTGAATTAGAACCTCGATATTTGAGAGGAAGGTTCAAATCAGGAAAAGAATTTACCGTATTTTTCCGACTATAAGACAATACTTTTTTCTAAAATCCTTATGCTAAAAATTG